CAAGGGTTCAGCTACAGGTGAAGGCACAGCTGCTGCAGAGACTGTGTACCTGAGGAAGGATAGGGTTTCTCTTCAATATGAATTCTCAAATGTTGAGTAAGATTATTCCACTGACCAAGCAATTTACCACAGTGTTTGTATTCAAAGGGGCTTTCCCTTTTGAATACACTATGAATTCTCTGAAGTAGACTGAGATTTACCCGTGTGTGAAAGATCTACCCAAATTTCTCACACTCATAGGGTTTCTCTCCATTATGACTCCCTCAGTGGCTCATGAAGGATGAGCTAAGTCTTATAACGTTTCCACATTCACTGTGCTTCTCTGCACTGAGATCCCACACATGTCTAATTGAGGACAGCTTGTCTCCAAAGGCTTTCCTACATTCTTTTCACCCAACGGACTTTCCTCCAGTGTGGGTCCTATGATGCAGACAGAATTGGAGTGGTCATGATCTTTCCATATTCACTGCACTTGTAAGACTTCTTTCCAGCATGAATTCATGTGTCAAGTTAAGGAAGAGCTGTCACAACAGTCCTTTTTATGGATTCTTTGCCCTCCAAGAGTTTTTCCCCCACTGGATAAAAGTAGAGTGGTCTGTGAAAGAATTTCAACATTCACTGCCCTCAGAGCCTTTCTGTCCAGTATGAATATGTCGGTTCCCCATGAGGTGTGACCTGCAGTTTGAGGCCTCCTCACACTCAGCACACCCATATGGCTTCTCCCCAACATGGATGCTGAAGTGTTCTCAAGGGGCCTGCCCTCTTGAGAAAGATTTTCCCATATTAATTGCATTAACAGGATTTCTCTACTAAGTGAGACCACTGATGTTGAAGAAGGAAGCAATTATATTTTTAACATGAATTTTATTGACTGAGACATCAGCAACTGTTAATGTGGTGAAGATTTGGAATAAGGTCTGAGTGGCTGGGGAAGCTTATGCAGGAGAGAGAGCCAACCAGAGGCACAGATCAGATGTGCAGAGATCAAGTGGGACTCTGTTAGCATCATGCAGGTGAAAGATGATGACAACATGAACAGGGCATTAGTGGTGGAACTGACTGAACTGAGGGATTCAGGAGATATGTATGATGTACAATGGACAGGCCTCAGTATGGCTAGATGTTGGGCTTGATGGTGACAGAGGTGTTGAGCTGCTGTCTGTGTTTTCTGCCTTCTCAACTTTCCAGATGGCAGGGTCATTCACTACAACTGGGAAGGTAGAAGGACTGGGAAGATAGTGAGTTTCCTCCCAGCCATGATGAATATGAAGTATCCCTGAGATGTTCATGTGGAAACATGGAATTGGGGAGAGGGGTGAAATTTCAGAACAAACTCCAAGGAGCTGAGGAGGGGTTGGCTAGAGACATGTAGCTAGCTGTGCAGCCTGAGGGATGAGCAGAGAAACAAGAGACCATCATGCTCAGGTGATGCCAGTCAACCCAGTAATGGCATTAGGTGCCTCAGCAGCCCAGATGTGGGTAAGGCCAGAGACACCTAAAGGTTGTACAGAACAGGAGCAATGACACAGGGAAAGGATTGCTTCTGAATGTCTGATTGACAAACAGAAAATGACTGTATATATGGACAGCTAAGTTGATGAAGAATGTGGGTAATGGTGGTTACCAAGCATAAATGGAGGTATTAATGGTAGAGAAAGGCTCTTTTCATCTGAGCCCTGAAGGAAATGTGTGATATTACTCTTAGTCATTATGATTAATGTTATTACACCCATGGTATCAATACAAATAGCTAACATTTTTTGAGCCACTATGTGTCAGGTCCTATACTATGCAGTTTACATATTTTCTAGTTAGATCCTCAAACAATCCAATGAGATAACATGAAATAATATAATTACTATCATTTTCTAAACATAGACTGAGTTTAGCAGACCAAGTAGATGTTCACCAAACCCATGTTCTTTTCTCCTTGGGCACACAACTAAACCATTTCATAGCTCTGAGAATCCAGGTGTGGTTAAATGCCCAGGTTTTGTCAGTGAGATGTCAGTGCAGTGGCAATGGCAATGTTATGCGTATAAGTGGGTATGATTTCTTTCATTCCTCTCTCTTTTCCCCTCTGCTGGACAAAGAATGCCAAGAAAGCCCAAGTTAAACCTTATGTTGACAATAAAAGGTATCTTATTCTCTGAATAACTGTGATACAGAGCTTCCCACTAACTTGTACAGATCCTGACATGAATGAAGAAAAAAAAAAAAAAAAAACAAGACTCCCTGTGCTGATCTGCTGAGGTTATAGTTTCTGTTATAGTAGCTAGTATTAGTTTATTTCCAACACCCATGAGATCATTCAATATCTCCATGGTCAAAAACCTGAAGAGAGACAAAACCAGGTGTTAATCTCAAATGTATGAAACCTATAGCCTGACATTTACCTAATGCAACCTCAGTTCAGTTCAGTTAAGTTGCTCAGTCATGTCCAACTCTTTGCAACCACATGGACTGCAGCACGCCAGGCCTTCCTGTCCATCACAAACTCTCAGAGTTTACTCAAACTCATGTCCATTGAGTCAGTGATGCTATCCAACTATCTCATTCTCTGTCGTCCCCTTCTCCCACCTTCAATCTTTCCCAGCATCAGGATCTTTGCAAATGAGTCAGNCAGCTTGTGTTTCTTCCAGCCCAGCATTTCTCATGATGTACTCTGCATATAAGTTAAATAAGCAGGGGGACAATATACAGCCTTGACGTACTCCTTTCCTGATTTGGAACCACTATGTTGTTCCATGTCCAGTTTTAACTGTTGCTTCCTGACCTGCACACAGATTTCTCAAGAGGCAAGTCAGGTGGTCTGGTATTCCCATCTCGTTCAGAATTTTCCACAGTTTGTGGTGACCCACACAGTCAAAGGCGTTAGCAAGTCAATAAAGCAGAAATAGATGTTTTTCTGGAACTCTCTTGCTTTTTCAATGATCCAACAGATGTTGGCAGTTTGATCTCTGGTTCCTCTGCCTTTTCTAAATCCAGTTTGAACATATGGAAGTTCACGGTTCACGTACTATTGAAGCCTGGCTTGGAGAATTTTGAGCATTACTTTCCTAGCATGTGAGATGAGTGCAATTGTGCGGTAGTTTGAGCATTCTTTGGCATTGCCTTTCTTTGGGATTGGAATGAAAATACAACCTAGTCCTCCTCAAGTAATGAGGAAGTGTGTAACTGGGTGAGGACATGTCAAAGGGCTCCATGGCCACCAGGCCCCCAGGCAGGTCACAATAAGAGACTTCCCAGTGACCCTCTATTGATGCCCTCACCTGCTGACCTTTGGTCACTCACCTGGACAGGAACTTTAGGAGAAGCCTCTCTTCACCAAGCATAGATTTTGCTCATTCTCCAGCAGATGGATCACTTCTGGTTTGGGAATAGGATACCCTGATCATGGAAAAATAGGACAGCAGTGTTCAAGTAAAGGTACAAAAGTGTTAGTTACTCAGTTGTGTCCAACACTTTGTAAGCCCATGGACTGTAGCCTGCCAGGTTCCTCTGTCCATGGAATTCTCCAGACCAGAATACTGGAATGGGTTGCCATTCCCTTCTCCAGGGAAAAGTTACAAATGATCCTCTCTATTCAGTATGATATTCAAGGATGAGAGCTTGGAATGAGCTTGCTCCCACACATGTAAAGAAACTGCTGACCTGGAAACCAAGAGTACAAACAGCATCCTTGGACCAAAATGCTGCAAGAGGGTAGTGATAGCTATCTACCTAACACCCATTCCCCTTGATCTCCACCCCACAGGAACCAATTCAAGGGGCCCCTTCCCTTTATGCATAGCCACAGGACCCCAGGAAGGTGACACCTTTTTCTTGGAAGTTATTTTCTCATTAACCTAAGTCAGTGTTCCAACCTCCCTGGGTATCAGAACCACTTGGGGATGCCTGGTTTTGATCATTAACCAAATGGAACCAAATCTCTGGGGAAGAAGCCTGGATGTGAATGCCTTAAAAGCTCTCCAAGTGATTTAGGTACCCAGGGAGAACTGTAAAGCACTGTATAGGTCAACTGATGCCTGACTGTCCAACCACTTTAGTTTTATTTGGAAAATGTTGAAAGTTTTGCTATTCGGAAGTTATGATTTGTGATGGTGCAAAGTGAGGCAAAGGGACTCCGTATAAACCAGAAGACATTTGCATTGACAGTCTCAGGGCAGAAATTAATCCTTATACTATGAATCTCACAAAAAGCCTGTTGAGTGAAAGACCCTGGACACAAAGCCATGCACCCTGTGTGATTCCATTTATGTAATGACCCAGAACAGTTTCAATCCAACATCTTGGTGTGGAGGTCAGCAATGACCCTAAAGAGTAATGTCTTTGGTGGGGAACCAACTGAGAGACAGTGGGGAAGACCTGCTTTGGGGTGAAAAGTACTCCACAACTTGATCTAGGTGGAAGTCATATGAGTGGGTACACAGAAAAATATATTAATACAATTGAGTTAGACACTGGAGATGGTACATTTCCTTGAATATAATTATACCTGAAATAAATAAACATATTCAAGTAATAACTCATGCTAAAAACTGTTACAGTTGTCTTTGGGCAGCAGCTTCCTGGAGGGGAGAGAAATAGGTTTAGAGTGAGCAAAAGGTACTGTGAAAATTAAGTTAGTGGGGTAGAGAACATCTTATCAGGAATGGGGGCTGACAAGGGGTGTGAGTGCTCAGAGACCATGAGTTGTGCCCACTATTAACAACTGCTTTTGTTAAAAAGTTGACCCATATTTTGTTTATTTCAATTGACTTCTTCAGAAGGGGAATCTTGTATCATGTGTAAATGGCAAAACTAGTTTCACTTTTCATGAATAGGTAGCACCAAAATATAATAATGAAAACAGAATAATGTTATAAATTCCAGTAAGCTTATGTGTCCTGCCAGGCATTTTGAGTCAGGGCTTGCTCCTTGTGTTGAAAGGAAAATTAGCCAAAGTTAGAGGAGGCATCAGAGACTTCTCACACAGATATATCATATAACATCTCTTATATGTGGAATCTAAAAAGAAATGATACAAATGAACTTACTTACAAAACAGAAAGAGACTCACAGCCTTAGAAAACAAACTTATGGTTGCCAGGGGGAAGGGATAATTAGGGAGTTTGGGAAAGTCACGTACCTACTGCTATATTCAAAATGCATAACCAACAAGGACCTATTGTACAGCACATAGAACTGTACTCAGTGTTATGTGCAGGCATGGTTTGCCTGACTTGTGGACTCTTTGGGAACAGCCCCTCATCTCCAGCCCCTGCTTACTGGGTTATGGGGACACCTAACCCAACATAACACCAAAAATTTCCTTGGTGGCTCAGATGGTAAAGCATCTGCCTACAATGAGGGAGACCCAGGTTCAATCCCTGGGTTGGGAAGATACCCTGGAGAAGGAAATGGCAACCCACTCCAGTACTCATGCCTGGAAAATCCCATGGACAGAGAAGCCTGGTAGGCTATAAACAAACTTATGGTTGCCAGGGGGAAGGGATAATTAGGGAGTTTGGGAAAGTCATGTACCTACTGCTATATTCAAAATGGATAACCAACAAGGACCTATTGTACAGCACATGGAACTGTACTCAGTGTTATGTGCAGGCATGGTTTGCCTGACTTGTGGACTCTTTGGGAACAGCCCCTCATCTCCAGCCCCTGCTAAGTGGGTTATGGGGACACCTAACCCAACATAACACCAATTTCCTTGGTGGCTCAGACGGTAAAGCATCTGCCTACAATGAGGGAGACCTGGGTTCAATCCCTGGGTCGGGAAGATCCCTTGGAGAAGGAAATGGCAACCCACTCCAGTACTCATGCCTGGAAAATCCCATGGACAGAGAAGCCTGGTAGGCTATAGTCAGTCCGTGGGGTCACAAAGAGCTGGACACAACTGAGTGACTTCACTTTAACCCAACATAGCTTGACCATTCAGTTTTGTTCCAGTGAGAATCTGGAATAAGGGCCTCAGGCTGAGGTCAGCCTGGGCTAGGTATTAGAGTGAGGATGGGCTTGGTTTAGTTCTTGATTTTGCTTCCTGATTTTTGGCCCCTTGTGGTGCCTGGTTAGACACAGGGAGACCAGGAAAGAAGAGGTGGAACAGGGATGCAGCAGGAGTTATGGGTGGGAGGGAGGCAGGGTGGACTTCAGAGGCCTTGTCTACCAGCCAGGATTGAAGTGAGAGGGTAAAATGAGGAAAGAGGCTGTGGGTTCCCCACAGAGGAGGCCGATGGGCCTTACCCAGTGAGACCAGGAGTCCGCAGGTCTCCAGCATTACCTCCCAATACAGGGTTCTCTTTGCCAGATCCAATTGCCCCCACTCCTCCCAAGTGAAGGTCATGGCCAAATACTTGAAGATCATCAATATCTGGAAAGTTAAACAGAGACAGCCACGTTGACTTTGAAACTTTGGGATGAGATTAGAACCTATTTCTTGGTTGCTGCTAAAGCTGCAGAGAGACTCAAGGCCCTAAACGCGAAGCACATTAGTGAGCCAAGCTCTGCACTGTGTTCAACATGGTGGCAGAAGCTGCCTTTGGGCATAATGCAGACGTGCCAGAGAGAAAAGCCATCCATGGGGGATGATGTTGGAGAACGACACAAGTTTTGGACAAGTCCATAGGACTATAAGGTGCAGACAGCAAGTGCTCTGGCATGTCAGAGCATGGGAAAATAAGATAAAAATTCCAACAATCATGATGGCAGCAGCTGAGCCTCACTGGTCCTCACTATGCGTCAGCACCATGCTGACGGCTTCACGTGTTGTGTTAAAGTGTCTAAAGTCCCAGGTCTGGACCCAGATTCCTAGGTTTTCAGTCCAGCCTCTAGAAAGAAAAGTTTGCCAGGTACATGATCTTGGGGAAAGCACTTCATTTCTTTGAGCCTCAACTTACCAATAAATATAGCAATAGTTCCCACTTCACAAGGCTGTTGTGAGAATTAAAGAAAAAATTATTGCAAATGCAAACACTGGAGTGAATGGCTTATGTAAGGACTCAATATGTGTGTTTTTGTGTGTGTTAAAGAGTTTGGAAGTTTCTTCTTTTTTNCCAGCCTCTAGAAAGAAAAGTTTGCCAGGTACATGATCTTGGGGAAAGCACTTCATTTCTTTGAGCCTCAACTTACCAATAAATATAGCAATAGTTCCCACTTCACAAGGCTGTTGTGAGAATTAAAGAAAAAATTATTGCAAATGCAAACACTGGAGTGAATGGCTTATGTAAGGACTCAATATGTGTGTTTTTGTGTGTGTTAAAGAGTTTGGAAGTTTCTTCTTTTTTCGTAATTAGTAATAATTATATATCTTAGAACCATATCAGACTTACAGAAAAAGTCAGCAGATAATAGAAAATTCCCATATTTACCACCTTCTTCCCCAGTTTCCCCTATTATTAACATCTTACATTCATTGGAATATTTGTTACAAATACTGAACCAATATTGATATATTAACTAAAGTCCATAGTTCATTCTATCTTAGTATTTATCTAATGTCATTTTTCTGTTCTAGAACCCTATCCAAGATACCACACTGCATTAGTATCTCAGGCTCCTCTTGGTTGTGACAGTTTCTCAGAAACAATGCTTGTTTTTGATGATCTTGAGAGTTTTGAGGAGTATTGGTCAGGTATGTTGTACAATGCCTCTCTACTGGAACTTAATTGTTTTTCTCATGATTATGAGATTATTCTCAAGGCCTTATGGGTGGAGGGAGAAGATCACAGAAGGATGCAAGCTATCAACACAATTTATGACTGCCTGTTGAACTTGACTGATTACTTGGCTGAAGTAGTGTTTGTGAGGGTTCTCCACTGTAATTACTGTTTTCCCTGCTGTCCATACTGTACTCATAGAAAGTGGGAAGTTATACTCCCTCTCCTTTAATGTGGAGTATCTACTAAGATTTTTGGAATTCTTCAGCACTGAAAATTTGTCTTTTATTCCCCATTTATTAACTTATTCAATAATCTATTTATATAAATATGTATTCATATACCTTTGTACTTTGAGGTATCATTGTATATATATTGTTGTTCATTGTTGTTCAGTCTCTAAGTCNACAGAAGCATGCCAGGCATCCCTGTCCTTCTCTATCTCCCGGAGCTTGGTCAGACTCATGTCCATCGAGTCAGTGATGCCATCCAACCATCTCATCCTCTGTCGTCCCCTTCTCCTCCCACCTTCAATCTTTCCCAGCATCAGGGTCTTTTCCAATGAGTGGGCTCTTCGCATCAGGTGGCCAAAGTACTAGAGCTTCAGCATCAGTCCTTCCAATGAATATTCAGGATTGATTTCCTTTATGATTGACTGGTTTGACCTCCTTGCAGTCCAAGGGACTCTCCAGAGCATTCACCAGCACCACAGTTCAAAAAGCATCAACTCTTCGGCGCTCATCCTTCTTTACCATCCACCCTTCTTTACCGTCCAATTCTCACATCCATACATAGACCAAGACTAACAAATCTAAAGCCAAAAATAAAAAACCTATTAATTCAGCTGTCCCACTGAGACTTCTTAGATTCTATAGTGTGTTCATGTGCATTTAAAGTACACATGGCACAGAACTAAACAAGAGAAGTCTCAAATATCTGATAGAGAACACCCTTTGTGGATTTCACACAAAAGTGTAAATAAAACAGGCACTGGGAAGCACAACGCGTCACGTCCGGGTTAAAGGCAGTGAACTGAGAGCACACACTCGGCTTCCACCCCATCAGCGCCCCAGGTGACGGCGGGGCACACACACACAGAGGGCAGAAAGGGATAAAGGACAGAGACGGGGGGTGGTCACCACTGGCGGAGAAATTCCACTCTATTCGGAAGACAAGTACATGGTGTGAATCAAACAGGCTGAGATGCTCCAGAGGGCACAGCGCATAGAGGGTATAATAAAGATACACTACTCAAGGGAGAAAAAGTCACAAATCCCACAAGAGAAACAGCTTTGTAAGAAAATCACAGATGGAACAGGAACGAAACTAAAACATAAAATACTTTTAATCCAGTAACAGATACTAAGGGATAAAAAGGAGGCATTTTGCCTAAATGCTATGATTCACTGGGTAGCTTTAAGATCCTAGTTCAGTTGCTCAGGCATATCTTCTACACAGTCACAACAAACTGAATAAAGCAGAATTAGATGTTTTTCTGAAATTCTCTTGCTTTTTCTATGATCCAACAGATGTTGGCAATTCGATCTCTGATTCCTCTGCCTTTTCTAAATCCAGATTGTACATCTGGAAGTTCTTGGTTCATGTATTTCTGAAGCCTAGCTTGAAGAATTTTGAGCATTATCTTGCCAGCATGTGAGACAAACACAAGTGTACAGTAGTTTAAACATTCTTTGGTATTGCCCTTCTTTGGGATTGGAATGAAAACTGACCTCTTCCAGTTCTGGGGCCACTGCTGAGTTTTCTAAGTTTGCTGACATATCGAGTGCAGCACTTTAACAGCATTATCTTTTAGGACTTGAAATAGCTCAGCTGGAATTCCATCACCTCCACTAGCTTTGTTCATAGTGATGGTTCCTAAGGCCCACTTGACTTCACACTCCAGGATGTCTGGTTTTAAGTGAGTTGACCACACCATTGTGGTTATCCAGGTCATTAAGAAAGGCAAAGGAGAAAGGGAAAGATATACCCAACTGAATGCAGAGTTCCAGAGAACAGCAAGGAGAGATAAGAAAGCCTTCTTAAGTGAACAATGCAAAGAAATAGAGAAAAATTGGATAAAATTATATATATACACACATATATACATACATATACATACACAAATATGTATATATACATATACATATGTATACTATATACACATACATATGTATATATACACATATACATACATACATATATATATATATATACATATGCTCAGATTGTTCCCTCTCTGGCTAATGGGAGCTCTTTCAGTTGGTTTCCTGTGTCTCTCTGACATGCTCCCATAGTTGTGGGGATTTGGGGCGTACCTTACTTTCTGGCATTACTAGGAACTCCATGTATCTTGCCCCAGTCCTAGATTCAGTCATTTACCCAAGGAGCCTTGATTCATTTTATTAGAGAATTGTATTAGAATCAAGATCTGGCCACTAGGTGTTCTGTTACTGGGATGTCATTGCTTTAGGCTCTCTCAGCTAACAAAACAAAGAATTACGTGTATATACTAATCTGTATCTGTATACACCATCTGTATCTATATTAAATTAAACATGAGTTCTTACTGACATCTCCACTGTAATCCACTACCAACGTGGATCATGAATCATTCTAATCTCCTTCCTTTGCTCATCTGGAAATTCCTGCTTCAACAGTGACACTCCTGGCTCCTACCATTCAGCACCCATTTACTTAATAGCTCAATTCCAGTACATATATTATATAGTGGTATTGGAAATGTTAACCTGTACTCCTGTGGGAACAACTTTATCATCTAAAGTGCGTATTTGCAGTTCATTTTGTCTTTACTCTTATAATCTCACTCATTTCCACAGTCAGCGCCTTTCCCCCATTTCCTCCCATGAGGTTGTGTCATAATTCATAACACAGATTCTCCGATTGCACTCTGTATTATTTTCTGAGATCCTTCAATCTGATAAATTGTTATTTTAGTTTGTGTACATTAAGGTTCACTCTGTGCTGTACAGTTCTATGGGTTTTGACAAATATATGACAGTATCACAGAGAATAGATTCATAGCTATAAAAATCCCCTGTGCTTTATATATTCATCCCTCCCAACTTCCCCTCAACTCCCAGCAACCACTGAATTTACTGAATCTATAGTTCTGTCTTTTACCAAACATCACAGAATTAGAATCATAAAGTTGTCTTTTCAGAACAGCTTCTTCCACTTAGCAATCTGCATATAGGAATATATTACACGGGCTTCCCTGGTAGCTCAGTGGGTAAAGAATCTGCCTGCAGTGCAGGAGACCCAAGTTCAATCTCTGGGTCCAGGAGATTTTCTGGAGAAGGAAATGGCAACCCACTCCAGTATTCCTTCCTGGAAAATCCCACGGATGGAGGAAGCTGGTGGGCTGCAGTCATGGGGTTGCAATTTTACAAAAAGAACAGAATTTAATGAGTCCCATGTACACATCACTCAGTTTCAACATTTATCCTAAATTTTGCTACCCTTGTTTCATCTGTCACCTCCATTTTTTCCCTAGTTGGAGCAGAGAATATGCATACAGAGTATGCATCTGTATAAGAACATTTTAAAAATACAACCACAATACTATTATTATACCTAAAAAATTAAAAAGATTCCTAATAAATACTCAGTCCATACTTAAAATTTCCTGATTATATCAAGGATGGGGATATATTGTCAATTTGTTCAGTTCATCATCCGAACAAGTCCAAAAATT